AGATTCAACCAGCATTTATTTTCATCTACAAAATTGGATAGTCTTGTTTCAAGCATCATTTCATGAGTCGTTAGAAAACTTTATTTATTATTTTTAATTTCATAATTCTTGTAATGGACAAAATGGTGGAAAGAAGGGAGAGTAAGAGAATCCTCTTTAATACTCTAGTTTCGTTCCTATAATTTTTTTTTAGAGTTTTGTTAACGTAAATTACACAATGATTATAGATGTAATGACTCTGCATAAGTCTTATTTGAGAATCTATTAAAAGGGATGTTCTAGTTGCTTTCTATTTTGGCACAAGGCTCGCTCTCTCCTAGAGCTTGGCATTGTCATTATAGATCTACATAGGATTCAATAACTAACCTTGTATAGGTAAAAATTCGGTATGGATTAACTCAATCCATAATGACCTCAATTAAGCCAACCAAGTTGAATGAGGTTACACCTCACAGATCATGACATATGGACATAAGACATAGGCAATAGTATAGAATGAATTCTAAGTGCACCCTAGGATCCCATGTCAAATCTCGACGGGTAGATGTGCTTAAATCGGTCGTCGACTTCCAAAATAATGCATCCAAATTTACTTTGTAAATAGCAATCTCCCTCAACAGTGTCTCGAGTTTGCAAAGCAAATAAAATAAGAGGTTTAGGACGATTTCTGAAAATAAATAAAATAGTCAATAAAAGAACGAGGACAATATCCTAGGGCAGCTAGAAGTCCCTCCGATCACAACCTTTATATGCCCTTTCCTTTATTTGAAAATATTTGTAGAAAAGTAGTATTAAAAATACTTAGTAAGTTATCTAAATACATACATAACAAAAATATCACAAAATCGAATGTGATATTCCACATCGGTTGAGGAGGAGAACAAAACACCATTTATAATAGTGTGGAAACCTTGAGAAGAAGTCAGAAAAAAAAACCCAAAGAGGACAATATCTGGTTTAGGCTGTTACATTGGATTACCAAAAAAAACTGTTTCAAAACTTGTCAAACTCCCATGAACGTAGATGAGTAGTCATCACAAGTCAAAAATCACAATACGTTAGTTCATACGGGTAGGTAATTGTCACAATGCTATATCGCAGGAAATAGTACAATTCCTATGTACCCAGATAGGTAATTGACCTTGTAATTTTCATGCACATTGATATATAATTATTACAAATCCGATACACACGTGTACAAATTCTATTATTTTATTATTTTGTTTATTATTATTTTATTATTTTATTTAGTTAGAAAATAAATATCATTTTCTATTTCATAACTTCTTTTAAAATTAACAAAAACAACTCAATATTTTATACTATTTTTTAAATATGAATAATTTTAAGAATATAATTTATAATAAGTTGAATGCGTTTTGAACCAAGAACTTATTTTGTTCAATGTGATCGAGTATATATTTGAGTTATTTTAAAGCAAATTATTTTCATTTTATGAATTTTTAAATGCATTTTTTAGAATTAGAAATGTATATCTTGGGTTGGTTGGAAAAGACTAAAATTTTGGAAGAATTCTTTCTACTTTACTCCATTTTTTTTATCTGGCTTGGTAAAAAAAATAAATGATTTTAAATATTGTGACTATATTGAAAAAGAATTTGTTCATTTTAGTGATTATGATTCACTTCTACTTTTTATAACTTTTAATATCTTTTATTTAAGCTAAAGATTGTACTAAATGATTATATACGATAGATAAAAAAAAAACACTAGAGGTGCGTCATTTCGAGTCCTCTCGTACTAGGGAAAGGTCCTCTCAATGTTCTAACGCTCACACTGCATATGGGCGAACATTCTGAACCCAGTTCACGTACCGCTTTAATGGGCGAACAGCCCAACCCTTTGAACATACTATAGCTCCAGGTGGCGAAGAGCCAACATCGAGGTGCCAAGCCTTCTCGTCAACGTGAGCTCTTGAGGAAAATCTTTCAAGAGTTAGGTTGGATAACCAATCCAACAAACCTGAATTTTGAATTGGTCGTCCAAAAAATTCCCTCAACTCAATACAACTCGACCCATGTACTCTTAGTGGGTTCGCACACGATCCCTCTCAACGATTGCGACGATCTAGTCATGGCAAGGCAGCCATGTGGCATATGACAATGGAACCCGACAATTGGCACAGGGGAAGCAAAAACTGTTGTTGTCAACACGAGCAAACTTGAATTTATAATTCAACCAATTTTATTTTTGTTATGATGTATTCATTTTTCTTTTACAAACTATCGGTATTTTATAAAGTTATCAACCATTAATATTTTATTATTTATGAAAATTGATAGATATTTGCATATTTAATGTGTGTAGTAAGCTAAAATTAAATAATAAAAAACGTGAGATAAGGATAGATGAAGGGAATCAAATGGGAAGTCTTAATTATATAAGGAAGCTTACATGTGAAGAAACAAGATGGAAGAACACCACAAGAAATCATGAACAATCAAATATTAAAAGGAAGAAGATGGATATAGAAAGATAACATATTTAAGTATGTTTCATAGTCAAGAACTAAATTGGATCAATTTAAACATAACCCATTTTCAGAAACCTTCATAATATCTAAATGGAAAACGATGATTATACAACAAAACAAGCCCACAGGCCTTGTACTCTGCCAAAACTGCTCTAAAGTTACCCGAACTCCACAAGGAGAATGCTTTGCCTTTTTGAGATAAGATCTTTTCAATAGTTGCTGCTCTTAAGGATCCTGTCAATGATTCAACTACAGCATCTGTAGCATTTCTTGGAGAACCCCAGCAGCAAGTATTGAAGATTTTGAAGTGTGCTTGGGCCAACAAAAAGTTGCAGAAAGGCACTTGAGAGATCGTGTGCATCATACACTCTTCACTACCTCTGCATAACACACACAGCAGCCTAGGGGTTTTAGAAAGGAGAAAGCTCAGTAACAAAATGTAACATCAATTTGCACGAGAACATACGCACCGAAGTACTATTCGTGCCTTCAGGGAACTAACAAAATTGTGTAGTGCCCTTATCTGCCTGACATAATTTCAAGGTATGTTGATGTTCAAATGATCAGTAAATATAAGGGATTATCCGAACCTAAGGATGCATATGTTTATATATGTCAAACCCTGATATGTTCTTACTATATGTAAAGGAATGTAAAAGCATTGATAACCCCACGAAGTTCATCTAAAAGAAGAAGACAAGATATGGAAGCAAATGAAGTCAACTATTTAGACCGAACCGAACCCCTGTAATACACTTTCCCTTCATCAAGTACAAATATTAAAAATATTTTGATCCAGAAATACAAACCCATCATTACAACAATTAAAGTATGGAACTAAGGCATTTGTGAAATAAAAAAAGTACCCATATGGTAAAAAGTATTGATATGAGATTAAATTTACCGTAACCCATTAACTTATAGATTTTGGATTGATCGCATCAGAATAGGAGGTCTTATGTAAGGCCGAGGAGTATTAAAAAATCCTTTTTTTTATAAAAAATATATGAAATTTACAAAAAGAAAGGAAAGTACGAGTAGAACAGAAAAGCTTTCTGGTTGCACACATCCTTCTTTCAGCGCAAGAATACAAATTAAAGAACATCCATGAATAAAAAAATTAATAAGCCCCCAGAGCCAAACGAAACTTGCAATCTAATTTACAAGAAAGCTTATAATTTTGAATATTTTGAAAGAACACACTATGAAGCTGCGCAATATTTGATAAGTTCCAAACTTTTTTATTTATGTAAATCAAATTACTATATTTATTTAGCTACACCTTGTTTCATTTAAGTGATGAACCAACCCAGGAATTTTTAACTTTAAGGCAAATAAAAAGTGCACATAAAAATTTACCTAAACTTAGTGTAAAGGCGTTAATATTTATATACCGAGTTCTATATACTTTCCCAAAATTGATTGTATCCAGTACCTTTTGAAGTTCTAGATCCAAAAAAACATTAAAAACAACAAAGACGTCATGCATGGAAAAGAGGTAGAAAGAAGAGGAGGAAAAAAAGGTACCTGCTCGATCAGTGACCATCTCTCTCTAAGGAAAGGTTGGTTAGGTTCATTCCTTCTTGCTTGCTCTGAAATTGATGAATTATGGTGTCGGATTCCATGAATTTTAATCATTGTAAAATTGAAAACAATCTTTCTCTATTAGTTCTGAAGCTAGTTCGAAACAGAAACATGATAGAGGAGGAGAAAACAACAAATTCTAAATTTCATCTATCAGGATGCATAGAGACCAATTCATCCCAATGGAAGAATCATTAGTGGAGATTCTTCAGAGCATCTGAACTATAATTCTTAGAAAAAGAACAGATTCAAAATGAAACAAGCTGGATGCAGAAAAATTCAAATCACGGCTGGTATGATGAATTTTCAATCTAATTAAATAAGATAGCAAAGAGAAGTTGGGCTATAAGATTCCTCTTCCATGATAATTGGGCTAACATATGGAAAATTTTGACAGAATAATTATGGAAGATAGTATGCTGGATCCTTACTATATAAAAAGTTTAGTTGACATGTTCCAATAAGAAAAGAATCCATCTTCTATGTAAGAAAGAAGGATGGATGATGTTCAGTGCCTCTTCTCTCAAGTTTGAAAAATGTTAATCTCAGAAGCAAGGGTGATAGAGCAAGTTCATAGGTGTCTCTTGACATAGGATATAAGCGGAGGATTGGCTCTGTTGTGCCTCGCAAGACACCAATATGTTGGATTTCCAGGATGAAAGTAAGGAAAAAGAAATTATAAAGGATTTCTTCAAATTGAAAAACAATAATATCCATTAAGCAGCGATGAAAGCAAGCTAGATAAGTTCACTAGCAACCAATAACCACAGACCTGCTGGATGAAAAAAGATATTGATGCAAATTGAAACGAACGAGCATATATTGTAATAAATACACCGAGATTTCAATAGTAGAATAATCGTGACTATTAAAAAAAAAAGCTACCTGCGGAAAGAAGCCAAGAATTATTTATTTATTTATTTATTTATTTTATAAGAGACAATTTCATTGATGATTGGAATTTACAAAAGGGATGTATAATCCATGGACCTTCCCAATTTGCATTGAGAAAGGTATAGCTATAGGAAGTATAAATATTAGACAGTTTACACCAATATATAGCTTGGTAAACAACATTGTCGAAAAGTTTTGTGCAGGTTTATGTCTTTTCTACAATATTCTCTGATTTCTTTCTTTCTGCAGATTTCAAAAGAAAGTCCTGATGAAGTTTTTCCATAATAGGGCTTTTGCATTCTTGAAAGGGTGGTACGTTAAGGCCATATCCAAAAATTCCTTTACCTCCCTAGGAAATGTGAGATGTCATTCGAATATATTGAAAATCGTTGTCCAGAAATTCTAAGCGTATATGCATTGTATAAACAAGTGGCTTTGTGATTCGGTTTCTTTCTTGCATAATGGACACCAATTTGGAGAAAGAGTGATGTAAGACATTCTTTTTTTTTTTTTGGAGATTTTCACTTGTGCTAATGGCTTTATGCACTATTTTCCAAAGGAAGAACTTCACCTTTTTAGGCTGATGTCCTTTCCTTACTCCGTAGGAGAAGCCCAGCATTATTTGTAAGGTTAAATTATAATTTTGGCCCTTGATCTTTCAAAGTTGGGTTAATAGGTTGCACATCTTGGCTATTTCGACCAACACCTTGGCTTTTAAATGTACTTTTGTTAACTTCAGATTTTTTTTAGTTGACCTTGTAGTTGTTGTTGACAAGAACTTTATTGGGCCTTTTTTGTGGGCATACGTGCTTAACCTCACTCCCTTCCTTCCCTACACTTTAATTAAATTGTTTTAGTTAGTTTTATTAGGTTAATCTTGTTTAACTTTACATTATGCATTTTAGATTTTTCATGCTTGGCCATGTATAAATCCACCTTGTGTTTCTTTGTAACCTAGTAACGAGAAGTTGAATGAAAATAAAGTTTCAGTTGTCTCCTCAAAGTTGGGGCCAAGAGCATCCTTGAGTGTATGAGTTAGTGTAACTTGCACGTTAAACCCTCGAATCATTCAAGTTTAGGCTGGACACCAATTGGTGGAGTGTTCAGTTGAAGCTAGCCTTCAGGTTTATGGTTCTGGACCTCCAAGAAAACCATCAACTTGCCTCCTCTTGAGTATTACTTAAGGTAGGAGAGACCCTTTGTGTAGATGTTTACAAGATGCTAGTCTTTACCCGTTGCCGAAGCTACCTCACATCACGAGCCTAAAAAATAATAGCCCAAAAGATGAGCCAAGAAAGAACTAACTTAAAGAAACATAGGCCCTTAGGTAGGAGATTGAATCAAGGTTGATTGATCAAGAAGGATTTTCATCTCTGTTCGTAAGAGTATAGAAAAGTTAGTCTACCTATTAAACATAAAATTGAAGTTAGATAACTTAAAATTTATAATATAACCTGATTAATCAAGGTTTTAACTTAAAAATTTAACGTCTGGCACCAAACTTATAATATAACCTGATTATAATAACAAAAGTTTAGGCAGAAACCTTAAAACTTAACCTGTTTGTAATAACTAATGCAAATTCAACAGAGGGGCATGCAAAATTTCCATGAGTTGGATGTTTGACCAATGACAACAATTAATAAATAAGTCAGCAACATATTATAAGAACTTTATATGAGGTATCTTTATTGAAGATTATGGCTGTTGAAATTTCCAAGGCAATTATAAAAACACATTAACTAAAGAATCCTGACTTTAAAGCCATACCTTTGAAACTGAAGAGGGACAGAGACATGAAGCCTCTTAACGCTTCCAAAATGAAAAAGAAAACATACCTAAAAAAAAACCATGGTCAATATTATTTCTTAAAGAACATATCATGCAGAATAAATAAATAAATAAAAGACAAAATACCTAATAACCACGCTTTCTTTTGGGAACAATAGAGAAGGGCGAGTCTAGCTACTTAGAAACTCAAATCTCTATTAAAAGTACAATCGCCTTTGAACTTTCCATTGACAAGAATATCATACGTAGTGTTATCGGGAACAAGACCTCTACCCAGCATCTCATCATGCAATCTAAAAGCCTCTTGCAAATTTCCTTCCTTAAAGTGTCCAGCTATTAATGTGTTATAAATGAGAACACTAGGAGTCAAGTTTCTTCCATTCATCTCTTCCAAAATCTTGCGTGCATTTTCTAATTGTCCTTCGTTACAAAGACCAGTGATGAGAACTGTTTGTGCTCGATTATCAGGCAAAATACCCTTGGAAAGCATTTCAGTGTAGAGATCAGATGCATAAAGAAGTCTTCCTTCTTTCAGGAGTCCGTCAATCAATGAGGTATAAGTTTGCAAATCACATGGAATCCCCTCATTCACCATGTTCTTATATAAGTCAATTGCTGCTTCCATGTTGTTTAGATTCTTAAACCCAGTAATCATGCTATTGTAAATAACAACATTTGGAGATAAACCAGCTCCAAGAAGTTCGTTATAAAGTTCACATGCACTTTTCATATCCCTTCTTTTGCAAAAACTGTCAATAAGTGTGCCATATGCCGTAATGTCCATTTCAAGACCCTTCCTTTTCATATCATTCAACAACTTTAAAGCAAGATCTATATTATTACTTTTACAAAACCCATCAATGAAGGACGTGTAGGTAACAATACTAGGAGAAACGCCAACTTCACACATTTCCCTAAATACATTCAAGGCCAAATTAATGTCACCTTCCTTGATGAAACCATCAATAATAGTATTGTAAGCTACACATGTAGGAATAGAACCTTCAGAAACAAACTTATTGAACATATCCCTTCCCTCCGAAGTACGACCAGCTTTGCACAAACCTTTGATAATAATGCCTAAAGTGATGTCTGTGGGGAGAATATTAGCATCTATCATTTTGTGAAATATACTAAAAGCATTGTCAATATCACCTTTCTTGAAATAACCGTCCATTAGAATAGAAAAGGTAACAACATTTGGGGTAAAACCATTATCTAGCATCTTCTTGTACACCTTACATGCTTCAATAATATTACCTTTTCTACAATGACCGAGTATCATGGTATTGTAAGAAACGGCATTAGGACTGATACCCTTAACAATCACCTCATCCCAGAAATTGCAAGCTTCATTTACCTTACCCTCCTTACAAAGCCACGACAATAAAGTATTAAACGTGAAAACATTTGCCAGACCACTCTCAACTGCTTCATCAAACATCGTGAATGCATTTTGCAAAGACTTGCATTTCAAATACCCTTGTATCATAGAATTCAAAGAATAAACACTTGGCTTGATACCCTTAATTTTCATCTCAGAGTAAAATTCATAAGCCTTTTCCATGCACCGATTCTTACAGAAACCATCAATCATAACTGAGTACGTAACTCTGTTGGGAACCAAACCACAGTTATAAATTTCATTCACAAGATCTAAAGCACTACTCAGGTCTCCTTGCATGCAATAACCCTTTATTAAACTTGTTGCAACAACCAAATTCATAGACTTCCCACAATTAACCATGTCATCTTTCAGCCGCAAAGCCTCTACCACATTTCCTTCCTTCACACAAGCAGTAATAACACTTGTAAATGTGCCCTCAGAAGGAACCCAACCTGTAGCTCTCATCTCTCTTAACAAAGACAAAGCATATCCAGAATTCGGTTTCAAACAAACTACATGGATAAAAGTACTATATACTTGTGGATCAAGTTTCACTCCTCTTGCTTTTGCTTCTAAAAAACGTTGCTCTGCCTCCACAATATTTCTTTCCTTCAAACAAGCACACATCATGACATGTAAAGTAAAACAGTCACCTGCAACTCCTTCCAGCAACATTTTGTTATGCAACTCCCGTGCTTCACAAATCATGTTTTTCCTAACCATAGCAGTCAAAAGAATATTCATACACTGAATTGATGGCTTTACATCAAATTCTACCATTTTATTAAAACAATGAAGAGCTTCTTCAATTTTGTTAGCTCTAACGTAACTATTCAATAAATAATTAAAAACCTGAATATCTGATGGAAAACTGTACAGCTTCATGCATTCTACTAAACCGTTTATAAGACAACTAGAGGAGACTGAATTTCCTGACGCAAACCGATTGAGCATATTCTGAGCTATTTTTTGGGTCTCTGCCGAATTCATCAAAATGAGAAGCAGGACAGATACAGCATTAGTGCTCTTGACATAACCACTCTTCTTCTCAATCCTTTTGAAGTACTCCAATGCTGATTTTGGGTCACTTATGTTGCCTAGAAGAGTGTTTATCACATGACTTTCAGTTAAAGCAAAATCGGGTGAGGTACCACATTTACCATTGATGGACTCTAAAGAAACTAAGTTACTCTGCGAGACAACTTTAGACGAGGTTTCCACCGAAGCATCCGTGCTTTGATTGATATGCCCAGAAGATGATAAAGGAAAGATAGTTTTTCCTGCAATTTCTGATTTTAAACCAAGAGGCTTGTTTTTAAAGAGGGAGTAGAGAAGGAATGGAGAAGTTGGTGAATGATTTCTCATAGTCGCTTTCACGATAAAAGTGCCTAAAAAACAAAAACAAATACCAGGAATGAGCAGATTGAGGTCAAGAGTAAAACCATGAGTTTAAAATGAGAAGAAATGTGAAATATTGCAACACTACCAATCAAAACATATATTAAATTTAGTACAGGAGTTTAAGTGAGAGAAAGTATGACTAAGATTCAGCCAAACAAAAAAAACATTCAAAAAACGATGTCAAAATCATACCTTTTTTTTTACAAGAAACAATTTCGTTGATGTTTGAAATTTACAAAAGGGATGTGTTACGCATGATGTTTACCAAAACAAAAAAAAAAAAAAAGACTTCCCAATTTACAATGAGGGAGGTGTGACTACCGGAAGGTAAAAGTGCTAGGCAATTTACACCAAGATACAAAATGAAAAACAGCACTATCGAAGAGTTTTGTATAAGTTTGTGCCTTCTCTGTGAATACTCTTTAATTTCTTTCTTTCCGCAGAGTCCAAAGAAAGTCATAATGAGATTTTTCCATAGCAAGGCTTTTGCATTCTTGAAAAGATGGTAAGTTAATAAGGTTATATTCAATAAATCCTTATCTCCATATGAAAAGTGAGGTGTCATCCGAAAGTATTGAGAATCCTTTTCCAAAAATATTAAGAGTATGTGCATTGCATAAATAAGTGATTTTGTGATTCGTTTTTTTTTTTTTTTTTTTTCCCTTTTGCATAGGGGGGCACCAACTTAGAAATAGTCATCTAGGGCATTCTTTTTTGTAGATTCACTTGTGCTAATGGCTTTATGGCTATTTCCCAACCGAAGAACTTCACCAAAAACTACATAGACGTGCTCTTAACACAACCAACATTCTTTTTCAAACAATCTCAACTCTACAACATGCTTGTCTACTTAGGATCAAATCACAACATCTCAGCATGCTAAGCATAACTGAAGCACTACAAGCACCCCATCATGCTTAACATTACAAATTACAACTACATGCCCAACATATTCGGAACTCAACATATAGAAAAAGAGTTCAATAAAATATACTTAATAAAACAATTAAAGCCAAACAGCAATCAAACTCAATAGATAGGAACTGCTTACCTAAAGTGCTAGAGCATTTCCTAAATCAATCTGAAAATGTTCCTAAACAATAAAAACAACATCATAAGGTTAGACTTAATTTAAAAACCTTAGTTGAATCTAAGTGAGTGACCAAAAAGGAAAATCTTAACCACAAATCACCCTCAGACTTGATTTGACGGTCCAGAACTAATTTGAACCTAAAAAAGAGAGCTTTCGAAGTGTAAGAGACTAAGCTAAGGCACTTAAAAATGGCTCGAAAAGGTCTAGACTGAGTCTTACCACCAAAACTCAAAGGAACGAACTCAATTCCGTGCTGGAAAGTATTCAATTAAGCTCGAATTGGTTCAAAGCTGTAAGCAGAAAGATCTCAATGGTTAAAACCCGCATTAACATATTTCAAAAGGATTCGAAAGGGTTCAAAACGCCTCATACCTACTGAACCTTGCCAAAAAAGGGCTCAAATTTGCAATTCATTCGATTTCACAAATCTAAGCCTCACGGATCGTGGGTACTCTAATTGCGGCAGAACGTGGTGCGGGTAATTTAAAAAATGCTTGGGTGCCGCTTATGCAATCGAACTCGTGCCGCAGTGGAGAGTCCTCGCGCTGTCGATCAGATCTGTGGGCATTGAGGCCGTGCAAGAGCACACATTTTCGCTCACAGTTTAGAAATGCATCGTGGTACAGTAAGACGGAAAAATAGCCACCGCAGAAAGAATCGCGCCGGTCAGCATCGCGAATCGTCGAAGAGGAAACAACAGCACTGTTCGTGGGTCTTGCACCGTTGTGCGTCTTGGGTTCGTGGTTGCCGTGCACACCGTCGCAGAGAGTAGCCGGAGGAAATCGAATGGGATGCTGCTATGCGGCTGATGCTTCACGCGAGGGAGAAGGAGGGTTTATTCAAAGCCCTGATTCCACCCATTATGAAAAGTATAAGATTATATAAGTTTACATTTATCTTGGGACATCAACGTTGAGATGGCCGAGTTGGTCTAAGGCGCCAGATTAAGGTTCTGGTCCGAAAGGGCGTGGGTTCAAATCCCACTTTCAACAATTCATTTTAATGTTTTTTTTGTGATATCGAAGTTGGGTAGCATCTTTTTTAGACTGGCAGGGATCTACCCCATGCTTTCCATTGAGAGATAGGGAGTCGAGTTCACGAATGCCCCAATTGAAGGAAATTGCTTTCGAGTAAGTTTTAGGGTAAAACTCGAATCGAGACCTAGAACATGGGTCAAGATCTAAGTTCTGAAGATAAGACGTCGAACCTAAGGGCATAAGCTAAGTAATTGCAACAAGACCTAAACAAGTTAGGAAAGAGTGTGGTACCCTAGCATACCAAAGACATGATTAAGAGACTACAAGTAGATAAGGAGTTGGTGTTTGGACCAGAGCAAACTCTAGAGTAGGTGTCATAGACAAGCCTGAACCGTCGTTCTCAGCTTTTTTGTTTTAAAATATTTTGTGTCCTTCCTTATCCTTAAGTCGCGGGTCGTGACACTTGATCGTTGGCACCTCTAAAAACGAATTGAATCGAAAGAAATAGGAAGAAAAGAGGCAAAATCGAAAGGTGATTACAAAGAATCCATTGGAAGACCAATAATTACATAATGAAGAATTGAATAAATTAATTTGCAGCAATTGCAAAGCCGTTAAATTCTTACAAAAAAGATACTAAGCTCGGGCCCACTATTCTCCTCCGGGCTCAACATGTAAAAGGTTTCTGAATCCCTGGACCCGACCACACGTTCGAAGTGGGCCCTCATGTAAGCCTGCTCCCCATCAGGGCCGTCCACGTCAGAGTTTCCCGGCAAGACGCCGGCACCCATGGACACCGCCCGGAGAAGCTCCATAACTTTGAGATCATCATCGGAGGCTTCCCTTTTGACGCCATAACCATTTTTCTTGCCATTACAGAACATGGTCCATAATGGTTCTTCCATCAGCTTCGTCTTGTCGGCCTTGTCGGTTCTCTTCTCGCATTCGAGAGCGATTCTTACCATCCCGGAGCTCATTTCCTTTTGCAACACGTTGGTCTGCATGGCTAGCTCGATCACGATGCTAGGGAAACTTCGTGGGGTCTCTTGTATGGATAGGCTCACGCGCCCTTTTCGGTACCCGAACAGCGTCCCCGTCACCCGGTTCCCCGACTGCGTTAGCAGCGTTTCTGATATGCCCGACGGTAGCGATGGGATCTTGCATGCTGCTGGGGTTATGATGGGGAAGGATCGGAACACCGATCGGAATACTCGAAACACTTTGGTTTTGTTCTTCTTTCTCTTTGATGGGGGGACCAGGGAGGAGGATGAAGTCAAGGAGGGTTGTGGTGGCAGCGGCGGAGGCTGCGGTGGAGCTGAAGATTTTGGTGGAGATTGTAGCTCGGGGAGGGCGGCGGTGGATTTTGGGTCTCCCATCAACCGACGGTAATGAAGGAATAATGGAGGATTGAGGAGAGGGTGTGAGGGCGAGACAGGGTGGGAATGGCCGTTATAGTTAGTTATTTGCATGTGTTTGAGAACGGATCTAGGCTCCTTATTTTTTGGTCTATTTCTTTTTTCATATTTTTTTATTTTTTATTACTCATGGTTTCAGATGTTTTTTTTTTTTTTAGTTTATTAATAATTATATCAATTAAAACTTTATGCTTTATACAATAGCGAAAATATGATAAAATTTCGCATCAAAATCTAAAATTCAAAATGAAAACATTATAAAACAGGTGATGTTCAGGACGGGAGTGTGATACAAAATGAATACAAATGACAACCCACAAAATACAAATTTTAAACTGACACGCCAGGTGGTCACCCTTTGTGACAATGTAGCTTCCGAGCACTCTCCCACCTTGAATGGTGCCTACGATCACCTGCAAAAATCGAGGAGCAAAAAACAAGGAGAAAGGAGTGAGTATAAAATACTCAATAAGCAACATACGTGTAAGCTTCCATTGCATCCTTAACCTAGAAGGTATCCCCAGGCTTTACTCTTGGTTCTGAGAAGTTTGAGTCTATTCTCTATTGTTATCGGGGAATCTGGGAAGGACTTAGAGGTCCCTATGATACTTTAACTACTTACCGACCCACCCTGTGTTTGGATGTTGGTGGTTCACCATTTCTTGGTGTTAGCGAATCTATTGAGTGACAAGTTCCATCTTTGGGGTGAACTGCATGCGAACATTTTTTACATTAGGTGGTTAGATTATGCAGGATTAGGACTCTAGAAGGGCAATTTGGATGAGAATGCTATGTATGTTACAGAAAATTATGAAAATACACCTAAGATTTGAATTGAAGTTTCATGCATATTTTAATGTTTTCTGCTATATTTGAAAGGTGGATGAGATGTTGTGATCTATCCTTTAGGTGATTGATGGATGTTGTCTCCCCGTTGAGTATGCATAAATGTTTAGATTATGTTTTCGATGCTTTAGGTGATTGATAGGAATGTCTCTCTAACAAAACATGCATGAATGAACTAAGCTAAGATTAAGGCGCTGAAGTTAGAGTGGTTTACACATTGACCTAGGTCAGTATATTTCTAGTAACTTAGTTTCACAATCAGTGGGGCAAATGCGCCTCGAGAAAGTTATCGAAGATGATGACTAAATTAAGTGGAGGAGAATATCACAATCTGCAATATGATTGTGCCCCGAGTAAGTCATCGAGGACGATGACTAAGTTAAGTAAGGGAAAATGTCACAACCATATTATGAAGAGAGTAGGTTGTGACCCTTACGCCATGATAAGCAAAGCGGCGTCCCTCAAGAAACGCCCATCCGGCCACATGCGGCCTAACATAGAAGAATGTCATGATGCGATCGAAGAGGACGATGCATCATGGCACTTCTTCTATATTGGCTCGCATGTGGATCAAATTCAGTGAATAGGTTAGGGGCGTTTTTCAGCATTCGATTCATTCACTAAATTTGATACGTTTGGAAGGAAATGGTAGACTATAACAAACCTAAAAACTAAAAGCCTATAACTTGAATTTAAGAGAGGTCGTTGCTTGGTTAAATTCCAAAGGAAAGCTCCTACTTCATACTTTATAGAGGAAGCTCGACACTGAAATCTTGTGCATCTTCATGAACTTGAGGTTGAATTTTTTAATTTTTCTACTAAAAATATCTTATTGGATCAAAGGTTCGCCAACCTTCAGTTTAAATTTCAACCGTTAAATTTGATGAGCTCTGCGTCCTCTAAAACATATCAAAACATGGTGAAGATCCAATGGTTGGATGGAAAGATCTCATTAATTTTGTACAAGTGGCCACGGGCAGCGTATTTAATTATTTTAATATTATTTTTTTAGAAAATTTAAAATTTTTAAAACTTATTTTATTTGCTTGTCTTTGTCTTTTTCATCAGAGTCTAAGGCTCGTAGTCTAAAAAATCGGGTCGTAACAAATGTTAGAATATCATCACTAACCCAATAATTATTTGAACCCATTATCTATATATTTTAGAAAAATGATTTATGTAATATTAGAAATAAATGATGGTATATTTTAGGAATAATTTTCTAGTCTCTCTTATAAATACTACTCTATCATACCAAGATTTTCATCACAATAAATCAAAAAAATCCAAAGTAACTCCAAGCAGAGTAGAGTTTTGTAATCTCTTCTCGATTGGTTTTTATAAAGAGTTTAAGTGTTTCTCACAAACAGTTGTGTTCAACAAATTGGTATCAAAGTAGTCGGGTTTTAGGTCTTGTAGAATAATTGCTTAGATCGAGAGTTTGATTTTAACAACAATAGCCATTATAGCTTAGTGGTAGAGTGTCAGGTCTATAGTTCAATCTTGCATGAGGGCATACACACACATGTTTTAGAGTTTTTGAGTTTTTGTAGAATTGTCAAGTCGAACACATTTTATACATTTCTGAGAGTTTTTATAGAATTGTCAAGGTCGAGAGTTGAGTTTTAATATTAATAGCCCTTATAGCTCAGTGGTAGAGTGTCAGTCTTGTAAACTTAAGGTCTGTATGAGGGCATTGTTGGCACTCGTTTCACTCTTCAATCGATGTGCAGAATACGATATACATGATTTCTATAACATTACAAATGAATTTGAGTTTGGGCGAGTGACCCCATGTGCTTCCCACGATTAAAATGTTATGTAACAATGTTACGTAACAGCCCTAACCCTCTGCTAGTGTCTTCTACTTTTTCTTTCGGGTTTTCCCTCAAAGTTTTAAAACGTGTCTACTATAAAGAGGGTTTAGCCCTACTCTAACCTACTTTTTCTTTCGGGTTTTAAAACGTGTCTACTATGGAGAGGGTCTAGCCCTACTCCGACCAGTGCCTCACATCTTCCGGTAACCCGTGTCTGCTAAGGAGAGGTTTCCATGCCCTTATATGATCCCCTTGAGGGCTCAACATCATTGATGATACATACCTAATATCTGAACTGGTTGTTACATATTAGCTTGTAAAACATTTATTTATTTATTTCGTAACATGTAGTTAAGATTAAACAACACAAGTGAATATGTATTTTTAAAAATTACCTTACAAATATCTAGGCATTTTCAAGCTTCAAATCTGCTCATTCATTCATGTCCATAGAAAGGGAATTTTATAGCAAATATAGCGAAAAAGTGGGTTTCCATAGATGGGACTCTTTGTTCTTTCTTTCTTTCATTTTCATTTATTTCTCCTTGACTGATTGATTTATTAGTTTTTGGCTCTCAATAATCCTTTTGTTGCAAGCTACAATCGTCCAGAATAATTATGTGTATGTGTGTATAATTTGACGGGTGGGGTCGAGAACGAGACTAACGAAAAACGAGCGAACCCGTAAATCAGTCTTGGAAGAGACTTGAGATTATACAGGTAGGTGTCGAGATGAGAACTTCTTTTGAATGTAAAAAGGAGTCAAGGTTGACACTGCGACTGAGTAAGTCAGATGGTTCACGGAGAGTACCTGTGTTGGGATTTATGGAGCTTAATTATTAGATAAAATTCATCACCAAATGAAAGCGAAAAAATGAGAAATTCTTTGTGAGACTCGAATCTTTAACTCCTTCGTATTTATTTTACTTAAATTGGAAAGAAGAAAAATAGGAAGAATCACTTTTTTGCTACATTTATTTGGGTATAAAAGGCTCCTACTTTGGACATGGATGAACATATCTTGAGGTACTTTGAAAATGGCTCAGATTTCTAACATCTCAAAACAGCTGCAGCTGAAGTGTTCGGGTGAAAGGTTCTATGAGCTCTTTAAGAACAAAATGGACTCTATTACTCAAATGTTTCCAAAAAAACTTTTGAGCTACAAAATTGTGGAAGGTAATGGTTTCGCTCATGGCAGCGTCGTCCACTGGAAATACGACTTCGGTTAGATTCTAAACCCTAAATTCTAAACTCTAATTAATTTCATATCTCTAAGTCCACTACTACCAGATATTGTTCTTTTCCCTCTCGGGATTCTCCTCAAGATTTTTAAAATGCGTTTGCTAGAGAGAGGTTTCCACATCCATACAAAGAATGTTTCGTTCTCCTCTTCAACCGATGCGAGATCTCACAATCCACCCCCCTTTGGGGCCAGCGTCCTTGCTTGCACACCGCCTCGTATCTACCCTAGAGAGGTTTCCACGTCCCTATAAAAAAATGTTTTGTTCTCCTCCTCAACCGATGTGGGATCTCACAATCTACCCCCCTTTGGGGGCCTAGCGTCCTTGTGCACACCGCCTCGTGTCTACCCTAGAGAGGTTCCACATCCCTATAAAAAATGTTTTGTTCTCTTCCCCAACCGATGTGGGATCTCACAATCCACCCCCTTTGGGGCTCAGCGTCCTTGCTTGCACACCGCCTCGTGTCTACCCTAGAGAGGTTCCACATCCCTATAAAAAATGTTTTGTTCTCCTCCCCAACCGATGTGGGATCTCACAATCCACCCCCTTTGGGGCTCAGCGTCTTTGCTTGCACACCGCCTCGTGTCTACCCTAGAGAGATTTCCACATCCCTATAATAAATGTTTTGTTCTTCTCCTCAACTGACGTGGGATCTCACAATCCACCTCTTTTGAAGCCAGCGTCCTTACTTGCACACCGCCTCTTGTCTACCCCGCTTCGGGGCAAAGCTTTATCGCTGACACATCGCCCAATGTCTGGCTCTGATACCATTTGTAACGGTCCAAGTCCACCGCTAGCCGATATTGTCCTTTTTGGACTTTTCCTTTCGCATTTCCTCTCAAGATTTTTAAAACACGTCTACCCGGGAAAAAGTTTCCACGCTCTTACAAAGAATGCTTCGTTCTCCTCCTAACCGACATAAGATCTCACAATAAACTTAACAATATTACCTAATTATTATTCGGTATTTCGCTTACGTCCTATAACTTATTATCAATTGAAGTTTTTAGATTTTTTGGAACACGGGGTGTCCACTAGAGGCAAAGCAAAAGCTACATATGGATGACACAAACAAAGCAATAACTCTTGAATTTATTGAAGGAGATTTGTTTAAAGACTTCGAGATGGTAGCCGTGAAGGGTGAAGTTAGTGATGGTGGGAGCAATGGCATCAGCTCAGTTAAATGGTCAGTGGAATTTGTGAAGGCAAATGAAGGTGTTGCTCCACCACATAACTATCTCCAATTTGCACTTGAATCCACCAAAGGAATTGAAGCTTACCTTTGCAATAATAATTGATAATGAACATCAACTATGGTTTGGTGTAATTGATATATATCTAAATAAAACGTATGGATCTTCCTTCTTTTTGCCCTATTATTAAAACGATCCATCAAAATAATGTAACATAATATTATTAATAGTCGTGGTGGTTTATTCGGTCTCTAGGGTAGTTTTGCAGTCTTGACATGGTTTCATGTCTCTAGATTTCTCAGCACCGACTCTTTGGATCTAGATCGGTTAGGGGCACTAGGGGTCTCACCCTATGATCTTCTTTCGTGGTTTTTTTTGTGCTCGAACTACTTGAGGCGTTCTAACTCAGGTCATAGTCCAACAAAACTGATGCTCTCACCCTAGCCTTAAATTGGTTCTACTATGGAAATAGTCTTTACTTTTAGATATAGTAAAAGTAATCCAAACTATTCAAATAGGTTTAAACTACGATGATATGATACATTTCTCAAATAGGTAATATAAGATACATGTATTATAAATATTTATTTTGAATAAAGTTCATCTCAACTAGTAAAAGGAAGGAAGAAAATAAAAATCGATATTACAATGAGTTTGAGTTTGAGCGAGCGACCTTGTGTGCTTCCCAGTTACTTAATTATATGTGCGGTCTCACGCCTGCCTCCTCTCATAACTTGAGAATAAATTATCGACTTCACAGAAATTCAAAGTAGACTCCCAAGAATTCCAAGAAATCTAGAGTAATTCCAAGCAAAGTAGAGTGTAGTAGTTTCTATAAAATGTCTTGTAATCTATTGTCGATTGGTCTTGATTTGTGGTCGATAGAGCAGTTGGACTTTAGGTCCTGTAGAATAGTTTTGGTGAAAGTCGAATTCCAACAATAGTAGCCCTTATAGCTCAGTGGTAGAGTGTTAGTCTTGTAAACTGAAGGTCTGTAGTTCAATCTTGCATGAGGGCATTGCAAATTTCACGTGTTCGTTGATTATCCTTTATTATTTTTAAGGTGGGGTCGGATTAACCTTTATAGCTTAGTAGTAGAGCGTTAGTCACTTAAATTTAAGTTTTGTAGTTCAATTCTCACTACATTTCTTTTTCAGTGGTCAATGAAGATCTTCACGAAGTAGTCAGGTTTTAGGTCCTGTAGAATTGTTTATGTTGTGAGTCAAATTTTAAGAACAATAGCCCTTATAGCTCAATGGTAGAGCATTAGTCTTGTAAACTAAAGATTTGAAGTTCAATCCTGCATGAGGGCATTATGCATTTTTATTGTCGGTCGAGATGGGAGAGTATTTTTTAGGTCCTGGAGATTGTCTAGGCCGTAAGTCGAGTTTTAACAATGATAATCTTTATAGCTCAGTGGTGGAGCGCCAGTCTTGTAATCTAAAGGTTTAGGGTCATGCTTTTACCTTTCTTTTTCATGTATTTGTTGTAGCTCAGTGGTGGAGCGTCAGTCTTGTAATCTAAAGGTTTAGGGTCATACTTTTACCTTTCTTTTTCATGTATTTGTTGATTGTCGATGGAGGTGGGGGAATGCTTGAAAGTTGTATAGTCTTGGACATCATCCATCTATGTATTTTAGGTTGAGAGTCAAATTTAATCATAATAGCCCTTATAGTTCGGTAGTAGAGCATCCTTCTTGTAAATGGGAAGGTTTGTAGTTCAATCTTACGTGAGGGCATACACTTCTAACTCATTACAGTCTACATTTCTTTTTCACGTGACGGGAGAGTGCTCAAAAGTATTTTAGGTAACTTAATTATATGTGCCCTTAAACCTTTCTTTAAGATTTAATTAGATCCATAGAGATCCCTTACCCCAACAACTTGTGGCCTACGAAAGTCCATTCTTCTTTGGTGAAACTTGTACTCTTCATTGTGGCCTAAGAAAGTCAATTCTTTCGACCCCGCTTTGGTGAAACTTGTACTCTTCATTGATTTTAGAGTACACAAGAATGTCATCGATAAAAACTATCATGAATGTATCAAGAAAATCTTTGAACACTTTGTTCATCAATTCCATAAACGTAATAGAGGCGTTAATCAATCCAAAAGACATGACCATAAATTCATAGTGGCTACATATGCTCACGAATGTCATCGAGTCTTTGTTGTCGATGACCACTCTTTCCAACTCTCGTGATCAATATACAACCATAGAGATCCATCCTTCTTAACAAATAACAGTAGGGCTTCTTATGACAATACATTTAGTCTTATCAAACTACGATCTAGCAACCCTTGTAATACGCCTTGAGCTCTTTTATTTTGATAGGATTCATCCTGTACAGTGCTTTTGGAATTGGGGAAGTCTCCAAATCGTGATAAATTTTAAAATTGGGATCTCTAACTAACGACAGATAACTCATCAAAAAACACATTTGAATTCTTGCGTTATCTGTATTTAAGCTACACTGCCTCTAAGATCTCATACGTTGGACACACTAGTCAACAAGGCTCAAGCCCTATGACTAAACAGCTTCAAGTTGGGGATCACCTCGAGTGTGCCTCAAAGTTCACTTTCTGGGCATGATTCTCAGACAACGAGTCTATGCCAAAAATCACGATGATGTCACTCATATATAGTACAATCAACAACACATCTAAAGACTTACAGACACAAGTATTTTACAGGCTTGAACTCATCCATATGTTACTTATCAAATTGAGTTTGTCTATCTTTCTGTCCCTAATCATGGGCAATAAGGATCTTCACGAAGGCTTCTTACCATATTTTTTTACTCTATTAAGGAAAGACTTACCTTCGACAAACCTAGTAGAAGATCGAAAGTCACCTCATCAAAATAAAAATAAAAATAGAAACAAACAAAAACTTTTAATTATGAAAAATCTAAATTATTTAGTTTGAAAAAGAAATATATACTTTTTATTTTTTTTTATTCAGCAAAGCAGTAGACTAAGCGGGGGCAGCAAGAGTGAAGAGGATAAGGTAATTTTTGTGAACTTTTCTTAGACCTTCCCCTGTTTAGGTATTGAAATCGGAAGCTGAATCCAAATCATTCTCTCTATGAAATTCTCGTTTGCCCTAATATGTTCAATTTTGAAGATGAGCTCATACTTCAACCCCGAGTTTCGTGGTTAATCTGGATTCAGCTTCTTCTTCTTATCCTCCTCTTCGCGCTTTATTGTCTCACCATCTTCGCCATTGATTTCTCCAAAATCGATACCGTCGGCAACTCCACTGCCGCCATTGCTTCTTCTTCTTCTACTTCTAATAGTCGCTTCGTTTCTGAAATTGCTCACAACCACAAGAATGTTTCTATGCACAATATCAGGATTGATTCTGATCCATCGCGGAATGCGCAGGTATGGCGTCTCTCGGCTTCATTTTTAAACCACTTGTGTACGAATGTTTGTTTGTGTTCCTGGTTATTCTGTGAACATTGACATGTTTTACAGCAATTCTTGGCTTGATTTCTATCCTTCTTGATGATTTTTGCGGACAAATGAGTGTGAATATAGGGTTTACAGAATTGTGTGGGTCTCTGTAGTCTGTATGACTTCAATATCTCGTTTAGACTATTTAGGAAAATTGGCGTTGATAGTATCAAGACAAAGGGATTCCTGTGATACTTCAAAATCAGGAGGGTTTCTCCCATTCATAAATGGTTAGTGATTTATTTAGGAGAATGGTTAATAGTTTTAACCGGAGGAAAATAGTTAAGATGCAACAACAAAGACAATTGAAAAGCATAATACTTGGGGTTCTTTTGTTCCAAGAAACTCTCCTCAAGTTGCTCTTTCTGCTTCATTTTATTTGTTTTGGTATATTTCGATCGTTAGCCATATCCAACATTTGGTATCAAACCTAGGATGTCGAAACAAATGTCTTCACCATACAAAGCCGTCGGAGGAGATGTGTCAACGATTAGGGGCGGAAGGGGGGAGTGTAACTCTCTAGTACCTGTTACTCATGAAGAAAAACTACGCAGCATGGTCGATAAAGATGTGTGTTAACTTACACACACAAAGCGTGTGGGACGTCGTCGAGCATGGTGACGACATTGAGGAGCGTAAGGATAGGATTATTCTTGCTGCCATCTACCAAGCAGTCCCATAAGACGTCCTTCTCATGTTGGCAGAAAAGTACTCGACAAAGGTAATGTGGGAGACACGGCAAATAATGCATGTGGGTGTGGAACGTGTAAAGGAAACAAAGGTGCAGACCTTGAAGAGTGAGTTCAAGGCTATCCGTATGAAGGACAGTGAATTGATAGACAATTTTTCCATGAAGTTGATGATGATCGTCAAGGGCAAGGTGGAGGAGATCTCCGTCATTAAGAAGTTTCTTCAAACTATTCTCCCGAGATTCATGCAGATTGTTACCTCCATTGAGCAGTTCGGCGATCTCAAGAACATGTCGGTTGAGGAGGTTGTTGGTCGTCTTAAGGTCCATGAGGAGAGATTTTGTGGCTATGAAGACAAAGAAAAATGAGAAACACCTTTTACTCACACTTGAGGAGTGACTTGCATAGATGAAAAAGAAAGATGCGGCTAACTCTTCATTTTCAGGTATGAGGGGACTTGACAGCCATAACATGGAAAATAGAGGTCGTGGACGTGGTCACGAACATGGCTGCAGACGTGGTTTCAGAGGAGGTCGTGGCAATACCTCACAAATCCATAACAATGTCAACCCTTAGAAGGACAATAGTATGATTAAGTGTTACTCTCGTGGAAAATACGGCATTACGCTACAAGTGCCGCAATAAGGAGCGCGATGAGGAGGCAAACCTCACATTCACGAATGATGAAGAGCCTGCGTTGATGTTGGCCGAGAAAATGCCCAACTTGTTGATGGGCAATGAAGGGAGAAGGTTATGACAAGCCTCATTGCACATGGAGAAGACCAAATGAAGACTAACATGTGGTATCTAGAAAACGGAGTGAGCAATCACATAACCGAAGATCGAGCAAAGTTCAAGGAGCTTGATGAGAAATTCAGTGGAAACGTAAAGCTTTGCGACGGATCAATTGTACCAATCCAAGGCAAAAGATCCATCTTGCTCTAGTGTAAGAACGACGATCAACATCTATTGACCAAGGTATATTACATCCCGAGTTTGAAAAGCAATATTATTAGTTTTGGTCAAATGACGGAAGAAGGTAGCAGAGTGGAGTTAGTCGGCTCGTTCCTCAAGATATTCGACAGAAACGGAGCCCTATTGATGAAGGTAAAATGATCGTAGAACTGCCTATGTAAGATACTATTGAAATACCATCAACATCTTCCAAAAGTATCCATTGACATGACAGCAAGAAGTGAAGAAGAAACCAGTGGGTCAAGAGAAAAAAGGAACCGAAAAACATGGCCAAGAAAAAACTAGAGGCTACTACAATCAGCGAAGAGCAACCTACGGTGTGTTTTATCAAATTTGTCGTCTCAACCACGGAAGCCTAGAGGAAGGCCACCAGAGCGTAATAAATATGGGACATCAACTTGTCATCTCAACCAAGAAGCCAAAATGCATGCCTAAAAGGAGTATGTTACAAGAAGTTTCTACGGTAAGCTTGATGTTGAATTTTCTGCACAAAAGAGAGGAGTGGAAGAAAATGCATGTTGCAGATTTAAAATTTCTTTAGAAGAAGATAGAGTTGACCAGGAACCAAACAACATTGACACTAGAAAGCAACGTGCAGACATTCTCATCAAGACCCTTACAAGGGTTAAGTTTGCAGAGATGTAGAAGTTGCTCAAAGTGAAAATTTTCAAGCAAAAGTCAAGCTTACCGGGAGAATGTGAGTCAATAAGTTTGACTTAATAAAAATAATTATTAATTTGAGTAAGTTTAGGAAAAGGGTTAAGTGATTTATTTAGAAGAATTGTTACTGGTTTTAACTTGAGGAGAATGTTTAGAAAATTTTAGTGTTTTCTCTCCTATAAATACTCATCAAATGTATGTTTTTTTCACAACAACAAAGAGAATTGAGAAGTATAATGCTTAAGGTTATTTGTTCCAAGAAACTCTCCCCTCAAGATGCTTAAGGTTATTTGTTCCAAGAAACTCTCCCCTCAAGATGCTTAAGGTTATTTGTTCCAAGAAACTCTCCCCTCAAGTTGTTTTTTTTTTCTTCATTTATTTGTTTCGGTATATTTCGATTGTGAGCTATATCCAAGATTTACTGTCGAAAGGTGTAATTGATGCAATTACCCTCTCCAACTCGAGGACCAAATTTTGAGGTAGTGGCTAACAGAAAACGAACGCCCTGCCATAAGGCCTTGCAATGCGAAACTAGGATATATGCACAATTTGATGGATGGAGACATGCACAATTTGACTGTTCTCAATGGAAACAAAGTGTGCATATATCCTAAGAGGCCTTGTGTATATATCCTAGTTTTTTTTTTCCCCTTCTAAAAACGGCCTTGTGTTAATGATATCCTTCCAAGGACCTCTTAGGCCTTTCCTTTTATGTCAGTTGGGGATCCACATGCTTTGAGATTTACCATATTTGCTTCTGAAGATGTGTTTCCATTAAGAACAGTCGTCCACCAATGTGTCTCCAGAGCCATATGGTTAGAAAAGCCTTTTTTTGCTCCTTCCGAGAAGTCATCCACTCCTAGGTCTGGCAAAGATTCTTGGGCTGTTACCTCTGATCATCTCACAAGGTGCCTCCGGTGTCTTCATTAACTCCTTCCCACAGGAATTGTCATAGTCAAACTTAAAATTGCAAAACTCTCATTAGAAGACTAAAAGTTTCGGGAACTATTGCTTGTGCTATCTTATGTGTCTTAACCAAGGGCTGTTAACTTTATTGGATGGCCCACGATCGAAATATGTCGAAACAAATAAAAGAAGCACAAGGAACAACGTAAAGGAGAAATTTTTTGAAACAAAGAAACCTTAAACACTTAGCTTTTCAATTCTCTTGGTTGTTGTGAAAAGAGCATACATTTCATGAGTATTTATTTATAGGGGAGAAATCACAACTAATTTTCTAAACTCTTCCAAGTTAAAACCCCTAATAATCTCCCTAATAAATCACTGACTATTTCAACTTATTCAAATTAATAACTATTTTTGCCAAGTCATGCTTAATGACTCATATTCTCTTCGGTAAGTTCGACTTTGACTTTGCTTGAGATCTTGACTTTGAACAACTCTGGCATGTTTGCAAAGCATAACCCTTGTTAGGGTCTTGGTGAGAATATTTGTATGTTGCTTTGTAGTATCAACGTTGCTTGGTCCTTGATCAACTCCGTATTCTTCATAAGAAATTTCAATTCCAAAACATGCAATTTCTTCTCCTTTTCTCTTCTGTGCAAGGACTTCTTCATCTTGTAGGTACTCCTTTGTCTTTCAACCTTCTTTTTTATACATGCCTCTAGCCTTCTTTGGTTAAGAGGATAAGTTTGATGCCCATTTTTCTTACGCCCTGGTGGCCTTCCTCTAGGCCTACGTGGTTGAGATGACTAGTTTGATGAAACACGCCATCTTATAGGTTGCTCTTCACTGATTGTAGTAGCCTCTGGTTTCTTCTTGACTATTTTCTTCGGTTTCCTTTTTTCCTGACCCATTGGTTTCTTCCTCACTTTCTTGCTGTCAATGCCAATGGATACTTTGTGAATATGTTGATGGTCTTTTAATAGTATCTTATACATGCGATCTTGCGACTATTTTACCTTCATCAATAGAGCTCTGTTTTTGTCCTATATCTTGAGGAATGAGCTGACTATCTCCACTTTGCTACTTTCTTCTGTCATTTGACCAAGGCTAATAATATTACTCTTCAAACTCGAGATGTAATACACCTTGATCAATAGACATTGATCGCCGTTCTTACACTAGAACAAGATAGATCTTTTGCCTTGGATCGGTACAATTGATCTGTCGCAAAACTTCACGTTTCCAGTGAACTTCTCATCAAGCTCCTTAAACTTTGCTCGATCTCCGGTCGTGTGGTTGCTCGCTCTGTTGTCTAGGTATCACATACTAGTCTCCACTTGGTCTTCTCCATCTATGAAGGGGTTCGCCATAACCTTCTCTTCATTGAGCATCAACAGGTTGGGCATTTTCTCGGGCACATCAATGTGGACTCTTCATCATCTGTGAACATGAGGTTTGCCTCCTCATCGCACTCCTTGTTGCAGCACTCTATCACATAATGCCCATAAGAGTAACACTTGATCATGTCCTTCTAGGGGTTGACATTGTCATGAATTTGTAAGGTATTGTCATGACCTTCTTTGCCACCATGTCTGCAACCACATCCACGATCTCCATTTTCCTTGTTAGGACTCTCACGTCCCCTCGTACTTGAAAAAGAAGAGTCATCTGCATCTTTCTTTCTCGTTCGTGTGAGTCACTCTTCATGTGTGAGTAAGAGGTATTTCTCCTCCTCTTTGTCTTTGTAACCACGAAATCCTTCTTCATGGATCTTAAGACGACCGACGACTTCCTCAACTGACATATTCTTGAGGTCGCTGAACTGCTCGATGGAGGTAACAATCTGCATGAATCTTGGGGGAATTGCTTGAAGGAACTTCTTGACGATGGAGATCTCCTCCACGTTGCCCGTCGTCAACTTCATGGCAAAGTCGTCTATTGACTCATTGTCCTTCATGCGAATAACCTTGAATTGCAAGGTCTGTGCCTTTGCTTCCTTGACACATTTCAGACCCACATGCATTGTTTACAGCGTCTCCCACACTGCCTTTGCCGAGTCATTCTCTGCCAACATGAGAAGGACGTCTTTCGGGACTGCTTGGTAGATGGCGGCAAGAGTAATCCTGTCCTTACGCTCCTCAATGTCACCATGCTCGGTGACATCTCACACTTCTTGTACCTGTAAGTTAACACACATCTTTATCAACCATGCTGCATAGTTACTCTTCACGAGTAACGGGTATTGGAGCGTTGCACTCCCCTCCCTTCCACTCTTTATCGTTGTCACATCTCCTCCGATGACTTTGTATGTTGACGACATTTGTTTGGACATCTTAGCTCTAGTACCAAATGTTGGATATGGCCCCACGATCGAAATATGTCGAGGAACAACTTGAGAGGAGAAATCTTTTGAAACAAATAAACCTTGAGCACTTACTTTTCAATTCTCTTTGTTGTTAAAAGAGCATACATCTCATGAGTGATTAGCTAGTTTCCTAGACTTTCTCTCCAAGTTAAAACCTCCGACAATTCTTCTAAATAAATCACTAACTATTTCTTAAATGTATTCAAATTAATAACTATTTTTACCAACCTTAATTCCTCACAAACTTTGCTTCATTCTAAACCAAATGCTCCATGGATCTCTCCAACTCAAGGACTCTCACTCCTCGTTTACATCACCCATCCCTTTCTCGAGTGTGCCAATCCTTACGGATCAACCCCTCATATATTCCTATCCCCAATTCGTAATTTGCCTCATGCGTGCTGTTATATCATGTTTCTGTTTTCCCTTTCTTTTATTCTCGTGAGATTCCTTGTTTTACGTCAAGTAAATGTTAGAAGTTTTTCCTTTTATTCATCGATTGATGGAAACTATATAGGTGTCTTTATTGACAATGAAGTCAATTTTCGTATCTAAAATTGGTTTTCTCATCTACATGTAACAATATTTACTATCTAGATAATCCAAATAAGTATTGATCCATAATTTTTTAGGATCGTACAACACTACACACACTCGATTTAGATGAACAAAAAGAACAAAAGAGAATGTAAGGAGGAATATTGACTTTATAGTAATGACTTTAGGTATTTACGGTAGTAAGAACACAAAGAATAAAGAAAATGGATATATATATATATATATATATATATATATATATATATATATATATATATATATATATATATATATATGGCTCAGTCTACTATACATAGCTTTACACACAATATAAATATGTGCAGGGTTGGATATTCTTTGCTGTTAATAGTTGGTCAAATTGATTCACATTTGCACCTACTTCCACTCGAAACAAGTTTTATATACATCTTAGGCCTATGGATAAGAAAGAAGTTGAAGTTTGTAGGATATAATATCATCTATTCTATATCACTTGAAGTTTGATCGAATGAGTTCATGCATGTTGTATGTGTTAGCGTATAGTCCTTGGATTCAGGAACTTACCATCAGAGTGCATTGAATTGGTACATTCATAATAATGTCTGAAATTGTAACAAAACAATATGCACGAATATGGCAGGCCAATATAGAGCAAAGCACGCGGGGGGAGATAGTGTGGAGTACGAGTAGGAGAATCACGCAAACGGGAGAAGGCAGTGTGGTAGGAGGGGAAGGCTGTGAAGAAACCAAGTTAGAACTTCACCCTTGCAGTTATTTCAGGCTTGCTAAATCAGCTTTCCTTAGGTGTCTGGGGTTGGACTCTTCAACTGAGAACTCGGTCCCGGAGGAAAGACAGAGACCGGAGTCGACAAAGTCGAAACGAAGTTGATGTATGTGTCCCTTTCCCTATGAAATGAACTCATATCCATTTTTTGTTTTAACGTTTCTGTTTTAGATTAATCAAATGTAGTTTTGTAGCTTTTGGAAGCCTAATTTTGCTAATATTGGTTGAAATATCATTCATAATAGTGCTGCAAAGTGCAAATAAAATAATGCAACAATTTTGATCACTAATTGAGCAACTAAAGAAGAAACCATTTTGAAATGGTAAAATCATTTTTATCACGTTACCGAAGAAGAAACCATTTTGTCAATGTTGTTCGACACTTATTCTAATTTGGTGAACAAGTCAGTTATGTGAAAATTAAACTTTGCAAACAATTTTAATGAAAGATCGAGTCTCAAGTCATATTTGAGAGAAAATGTTTTATAAAACGTTAACGAGGAAAATGCGCTGAAAACAATTTGAAAGAAAGTAACGTTATAAGGTAAAAGGAAATAAGTAACCAACATAATTTTGATAGCTTATAATCTGGGTAAAAAACATTGATAGCTAATTACATTCTCCTCCCGGACATTTTGGTGCATTTCAGTTGTGAGGGGTGTAATATGATTTGGGTGAATGATCATAAACCCCTATACTCACATGAAAAAAAAAACAGTAAAGATTTAACTACACATGAAAGCGAGAAAAAGGAGTTTGGAAGGGGTATGCGACCATGAACAATATGCCCTAGAAAAGCATGACCAAGACATCCGGCACGCGGCCACATGAAACATACCTTGGACAAACATAACTGTGACATTCTCCTCCACTCAATTGACTGATGTCTCTGTTATCTCACTCTTCAGAACTTAGTGATGTAAGATGCGGCTAACTTTAGGCCTCTTGACGTGCTTCCAACTGATTGCATTGAGGAGTTTTTTCAAATCTATAAGGAACTACTGAAATTCACTTCTTGATTTGTCAACTCTTCAAAGTCTCTTCTACTTCCTTTACTATTAAATTCTTCTTCGTGGCAGGAGGTCGTGCTGCCTCCTTGCACCTGGTGTCTTCATAATCGGGATACTAACGTTTCAAGTTACTCACATAGACAACATTGCTAGGTACACCCAAGGGAGAAATTGGATCCCATATGATGCCTTCTTGGCCCTCTGAATAACTTCGACTAGTCTATAGTATTTTTGTACCAATCATTGGTTATTGTGTTTTTGCAATAGAAGTTGATCAGACTTCAGCTTAATCAAAACTTTTTCTTCACTTCGAAACTGTCGTGCACTATGTTTTGATTGGCCCTTCTCTTCGTCTCTCTAGATGTTCTTTTCGAGTAACCACGAATTACTTTGGAGGTTTATTTCTCCCATTTATTGAAGGTGTTGGCTTGGAGTCTCTCTCCAGCATTTGGGTTATCACTGGCATGAGTTCCTATGGGTCTAATAAATACATAAATTTCTTTGTTTATAAACTTTAAGGAGGCTCAATAGACATGATAAGGTTATGTATGAAATTTGGTGACCATTAGATTACGATAAAGGGGCTAAACCAAGGGTAGGTGTAAAATGACCAAAATGCCCCTATAATTATGTACCACTAACCTATGACCAAGGTGACATCTAAATGGCATGAAATTTCATGAGGAGTCTTATGTCATGGTTCAAAGAGATTATACAAAGTTACGAGTCTATTGGAATATGTTGAAGATTTAAACCGAGAATTGGGGTGGTAAATGACCAACATACTCCAGTAATAATTCTAAAATGTTTTCAAGATTCTAAAGGACACTAAACGTTGAAGAAACTTGGACTCATGTATGACCCTAAGGGTAAGTATGCGAGATTTCACGAGGGAATTCGAACATGTTTGAGGTATGAACTCTAAAGAAAAGGACGAAACTACCCCTAAATATCCTTTATAAGAAATCAAGGTTTATTATGAGTACTAATTGACATGAAGTGTATAAAAAACTGATTTGTAAGTATCTTGAGTTTTACTACATACAATAATATCTATTATACTTATGCAATATAAGTCTTAGAGGAGAGATTTGTTACATCCCTCCTTGATGTTACAAAAAAAATTGGAGGAAATAATCATGAAAATATTCAGAGGAAGCTTTAAGGTTGTATAGACAAAAGTGATGAATTGTCATATACTTTAGCAAGGTTTGGAGTCTGTGACTTGAAGGATAACGTAATACATAAAGACTAATCAAGTCATGATTTAGTTAAAGGAAGAAAACAAGTCACCTTGGAGAGAAAAAAAAAAAAAGACTTCGAACCTTGAATTTGTTTGCAATTCCTAAGAGTATGGATAAGACAATTTAGCAAAGTTGAGTTAGATCGACCCAGACACATGAACTACTAAGCCAGGACTTCAAAATCCTTAGCATTTGTTCAGAGAGCGTAGTAGCTCTGGTCACTAAGAGGAAATAATTAGCCCACGCGACGATATATTGAACATTAAGAGCTTTTAGAAGTTAAGGAAATTTCTAGCGGCTGGCCTTAGCCATAATATAAAGATGTGTTGGATGATATATGATTGTTAGTAAAGTAAGCATCCTACCTCATATTTATGAAAGAAACATGAGATTGTTCTTTTTCACCCTTAATTTGGATGTCTTGACTCACGTCATAGATTACGAGTCTTTACAGGTAGACAATGACCCAAGTTAAGAGAAAAGACCTTCTATACCAGGAAAATGATCCTTATAAAACCATCAAGGGGAAGAAATTATGTTAAAAAAAAAAAAAAAAAAGACGAGATGAGGGAGAATTCTCCATTGATTCGACTTGGGTTTGATACGCTTGGACCTTTTTCTCCTAATTTTAATTCTTCGGAAGTGTAGAGGATTAGTACAACTACCTTTCGGCTAATTAAGTTTTTTGGAATCAGAGTTTAAATTATTTATGCATAATTAGACTTAGTTAGTTTAAATTATTAATTAGGTTTACGGTAGGCCATTTTACATGGATTCTAATTCTCTTTTAAAGTAACAAAATCAGAGATAAAATCAAAGGAAAGATTTAACTAACATTGTGACAAATTATTCTGACATCTTCGAGTAAATCTACCTAAAGCTATTTTCCTTTATCAGATCTGACCTTTTTTTTGTTTGTCTGTTTCATTTTGCACTAAGTGAACCTCTACCATGGTTGGTTGAGGGGAGGAAATGAGAAGCAATAAGTCAATCAGTGTATCTTTTGAAGTAACAAAACTGATCATTTTCACTCCTTTGAAAGTCGCTCTTGCAAATGAAGAAGTCAGACTTCTTGTACTATGGTCTCGATGATTGCTTCAGTTCATACAAGCTCTTATTGTGCTTCCACACCGTGTTACTTGCCTAAAACTGCAAACCTTTTTAGTTGCTTCATATAGATCTCCTTATAAGAATGTTATTTTTACCTCATTTGCTCCAGGTGAAAATTCTCCGTTGCAACAATACTCAACAAAATTTGCACACAACAGAGAAAATATTTCAGCATAATCAATGTCTTTACTTTGTGAATATCCTTTAACTACTAACTCAGCCTTGAACTTTCTTTTACCATCTAGTTCAATTTTGTTTGAAGAGTCGTAATTGTTAGGACCGCACAACAATTCACACACTCGATCTAGATGAACCAAAAGAATATGAGAGAAAATAATGAAAGCAGAAATATTGGCCAGTGATTTGTATTGATGACTTCAAAAGTATATATCCAAAGCATTGACTAAGGAATATATATATAATTCATTTTACTATATATATACCTTTACAAGATACAATTATATATATACGTGTTAAATTAATACAAAATGTGTTGAACTTAATATCGTATTTTATAAAATTGAGATCTTGAAATTTTGATCATAGACATGCAGGCATGTGGGTTATCTTTATTGTTCAACTTCTTAAATACGTCTTCACATCCAACATTTATATGTGTTTTAAAATCAAAAGTTGTGTAGTTGATTTCAAAGTCACACAATAACAAAAAGGCTCATAATCCATAAACAATTGGATCTATTAAATTGGGTTGGCTGGATTTCATTGTTTTCTGGAATAAAAATTGGGTCAAACACTAATTCATCAATAAACAAAGTATTCAGTTTTAGATTTACAAACTTAAGCATCCCTTGTGTTTGTGTTCTTAGCACATGCTCACCACTTGCATATACTTTAAATATTGTTTTGGAGTTCCAAAATTTGGGTCAAACACTCAGTCATCAATACAACTAAATCTTTAACTCTCAAGTTTTATTTCTTTATAATTTCGGTCCGAAATTATAGTAATGGAGATAGTATTTCTTACTAATATATTCATAATTTTCTTTTTAATTATCTAATCTGAGATTAACTTAATCTCTATCCATCGTTAGCAGATATTGTCCTCTTTGAGTTTTCCTTTTCGAATTTCCTCTCAAGAATTTAAAATGCGTTTGCTAGGGAAAATGTTTTCAAACCTTATAAAGGATGTTTCGTTCTCCTCCGGAATATCACAATGTGCAAGTTTGAGTAGGTGTAAATTTAGGTCGTTACATTATGCTTAAATTTAAAAAATAAGAAAATTAGGATTATTTAAAAATTTAGGGGAGATGGGTTTGTTAAGAGTGAAGTATTTATGAGTCAACTCCGTTTTTGTAGAGACACCACACGTTTACATGTCGCGTTGAACGGAAAGTTAAGTCAACCATATGGAACAATTTTTATTTTATTCTTATCATCTTAAAAAACAAAAGAAAAACCCTAAAGAAGCAATCAAATTTGTTCTTTATTAATTAAATATATCTTTTACATTTTTTTTTTTACTTTTTTCCTTTTTAAATAATCCTAATTTTAAAAATATAATATAATATTTAATAAAAAATCATATTTTATATTTTAATTAAATAATAAATTATTTAAGAAATTATTAAGAAGAAGAAAAACTCCTCCCATTGCAATATCACTCGTCATTTCAAAAACTATTTTGATCTTCGACGACGTTATATAACTTCTTTGTTAGATGAAAGTTCCATATCCCCTACTTTAGAAAATGATCATGAGTTTATAATAAAAGAATACTCTCTATTGATTTGAGGTATTTTGGAAAACTTAAAGCAAAACTATGAGAGTTTATATTCAATCAAAGCATACGAGTGAAGACAAAATATATTAAAAAGACTCGAATCTGAATCTAATTTTTTCCTATAAATAAGTGATAGTGATGGGAACTTCAATTGTGAATCAAAG